CTGGGAATGGCAAGGCCCGATGATCATAGAATTATTGGATGGTGATTCTAAACCCTTCAAAGAGGAGTTGCTATGGAGATCTCGTTCCAAACTGTGAAATGATTCACCTTTGAAAGGCTGGAGGGCCTGAAAGCTGAACACATCATTGTTCAGGTGGCGGTTGGTTAGGAAATTGCTGGTGCCTGTGCAATCAGTAGCACTATAGTAGTTAAGGATCTAAAAAGGTTTGTTCTCTGAATGATGTGGGACAACAGTGGTGTGCATATGGTGGTTCCTTTCAATCAAGGCACTCTCCTGCTTCGTGGTTTAACAAAATAAATGGAATAACAGAGGTTAAGATAATGATAAGGGGATTAACACTGTTTTCTGTTCATGCCAGAGTTCATGAAAACTGAAGTCTCTCTTATAGATTAACTTTTCAGCTCCACTCAGATCAGGCTTGTCTGAACAGCTTTCGCCTACATGGTGTGGTTTTTTTTCCAGTGATATCAAATGTGGTGGAAAGGCGCACCATTAATTCTCAGTTTGGTGTGAGACATTGCAGCTGACAGTAGATTACACTGGAACTGGAGACGCCTTGTTAGGTACTGATAGTCATACTATCAAGCACTGTGATTTCACTGTGAACTATTTTGAATGATGGGATCATGTAGAAAACATGAGTGTATCTCTGAAGGGCTCAAACCCACCATTTTCTGATGCCTAACTGCTTTTTAGCAGCCGATGTATTTGCCATAATTGACATATGCAAAGAAACAAGGCTGAATATGCCACAAACTCTGTTACAGAGGCAGTGTAGTACAAATTGCTGCCAATTTCATGTATCCTAAAATGAATGTCAAGAAGAAGATTCCCTGAATGAACATAAATATCCTTGTGTGCATTGCCAGTGTTTTTATACTGGGAAGACTTCCATAATGTGTTACTCCTAACAGACTCATAAAATAGCTTTTACTGCGCTGAATGCCAGGAGAATTGCAGCATTGAGTTTGCATGAACATTTTAAAAGCAGTACGAGGAATGCAAGTTCTTTAGATGTGCTCTTACCCATCTTGCATGTGAAAACATGCACAGGAAGTTAGGAGTCAATGAATACTGTAATTTACCTGAATTATGTTGACCACATATCTTCTCAGGTAGCAACATCAGAAGAAGCAACTCAATCAGTATTGATGCTGACGACTCAGATGACTGCCTTGTCTATGGAGCTGACAGAAAAGTAATGATAGCTGGAGTTTGTATGGTGTTTTTGAGTGTTAAACCTGTGCAAACTGAAAATTGAGAGCTCATTTAAAAAAGGCTTATGCCCCTTCAGTTCTTCAATTATTTGTTAATAAGTGGATTGCAGGAAAGTCTGCATAATGGGCTTAATGTAAAAAACATTAACAAAATAAATTGTATGTATCTGCTTTTTCTTCCAAAATGTTTTACATTTTTGAAATGTCAGTTCATTGAGTTTTAGCCTTCTGCAGTTCCACTGTAAGCCCATAATTTTACAGAGCTTAGCCTGATTCCTAATCAGGCCATTGAGCACCACTCACCCTCTGGAGACTAATCCTTTTGTTCTGTCAATAAAGGAGCACCTGTTAATAGTGTCTTCAGAACATACACTAAGACATGAAGCAGTAAAATGTAAAATGTGAGACAGACCTGACTCCTGAAACAGGGCCTTTCCACCCTCTTTATTCTGTGTTGTGTGTTTTTACTGTCTTGCATGTAGCTTTGTGTGGCACCACAGCCCAGTCTTCACAGAGCCCTACCCAGACCCACTTGTTAAAGGACTAATTGTGCAGATTGCCCCCTCAGATTTCTTGCCTCTCTTTCACCTTGTGCATTTGTTCTCTAGCTCTAAGCCTTGAATGGGACAGCAGTAGATGTGAATGTTAAATTAGGCGAAATTAATTAAAGCAAATTACTTTGATATATGTGGTAGTCAGCGGAGAGTGTCAGCTGATGACTAAATAGTGAGCGATCAGCTGCTCCTGCTCGTTATCAGCTTTTTAGAAGGATATATAACAATGGTTAGAAACTGCTGATTACTTATTTAAGAAAGTAAGTTTTTTTTTTTTAATGATTGCGCATATAGTCATTTCTGTTGCTTTCATTAACAGTGATTTATAACAATCATGAATGGTTTATTAACCAGGCAAACCTTTTAAAACCTCTGTGCCTAATCATATGATGTCAACTATAGATTCGTATGCATTTTACATTTGAGACAATGCGTCAAAACTTTACATTGTAATAGTTTATAATGTATGCATATTCTTGTGGCTAACAAAATGATTACATTGCATTATATTTTCTGAGTTTATGCAGGCACAATAGCAAATTTTCATTCCAATCAGTGCTGAACAGGGAGCTGGTAAATTGGAGCAGCAAAACAATAATTCCACTGATTAGCCCCTTTCTGTGTGGTGTAAGTGAACTGTTTATACTGTGGAGTACCTCTGCAAGAGGAGAGGAACCAAAACAGCCTGATTAGGCAAAGAGTAATTGGATAAGTTCATTTCACCATGAGGACAACGCACAGGATGACAGCTTGCACAAAAGTCTACAGCTTCTGTTGACTTGCATGGTAATAGAACCAGTGGCAAATGACTTCTGGTTGTCTGTCATTTTGTTGTCGAGCTGTGCTGCTTAGATGCAACTGATGAGTGGTGTTAAACTGTCAAATTTAGTGTAGTTTAGTTTCATGGAAAATCAGGTGTTTATCCCTCCTTAACTCAATAGAAAGATAGTGCATGGGGAGTTTACTGTATATTGGTTCGGATTACAATTTAGTGTCCCATCTAATTTAAAAATATTCAGTACTGGTATCAGAGGCACTGGTTCTTGAACAAGATTAAGAGTATACAAACATGCTGTGAGGCTGTGCTCAGACACAGCGTTGTTTGGAGCTGTACGCTAACATCAGCATGCTAACAAACACATGGCAATGTTAATACGCTGATGTGTAGCAGGTACAATGTTTACAGTGTAGCATGTGTGTACCATATTGTATGGCAATATATCTAACAGTTGTTAAGATATTACACATAAATCATAAACGCCAAACTTGTGGTGGTGCTAGAGGGGACATCGGTGCATAATTATTCATTAAAATTCATCCTCTGGGGACCATGAATGTCTGTATATGGTTCATGTAATAGTAGTGGCTGAGGTACTTAAATCTGGGCCAGCGTTTCCATCTATAAAGCTAGGTCGCTAATGTTGCTGGCATCTCTTATAAAATTTGTGTTCACAACCAGGCCATTCATTTTATTAGTAGAGTTGCAGGGGACTTCATACAGGATGCAGCTCTGCAAAGGTTTGCCTGAATCTCAGGTATGCTGTTGTCCATCATGACAACTATGGATCATCAATATTTTCTACATGTGTCACTGTTCGAACTTGCTAAGAATTGACTTGACAGCTTTGTGATCACCGTGGTGATGTTATTATCCTGCAGGGCCTCGACTGTCGGCAATCCTTCAAACACTCAGGTGTCAACACATGCATATAGATTATTGATAACATTTAGTGACTCCACCATGCACATTCCAGACATAGTGTCCTTCAACACAGCAGTACTTAAAGCTAAGTCATCATTCACCTGACAGTCACTTCTCTGTTGAATGAGATGGCATTCCCATTATGTCACAGTGTGGAACTTGAGAGGTCACTGTTGTTGAATGACTGATGAAAATGTGTATTCCAAATCCAGCTGCTGTGCTTACCTACTGCAAATCAAACATGCAGATTTCTCCTGTGGTGGTAATTTACTCAAGTACTGTACAGTTAGGTACACATTTGAGGTATATGTACTTTATTGCCTGTGTCCATTTTGTGCCACTTGACTCCACACTTAACCTATTGTAACAGTTTATAAAATAGTTCAAGCTCGAGTCACTGGTCAGTCAACTACAGCCTGCTAGTTAGTGATAGACTATACAGTAAAATGGTATAACATTTACAGGGGTCATTTGTCTGAATTATAAATGCTTCTACTTTTGATACATTAAACACATCTTGCCAATTTTAAGGTTTGTACCTTTTGTGGACTGTGTTTATATTGCAGTATTGCTATTTTTGGATGACTGTGGCTCAGGAGGTAGGGTGGTTTGATTCCCATTCTCCCCAGTCCACATGTTGAACTGGCTTTGAGCAAGACACTGAACCTCAGATTGTCCCTGATGGTTTGTGTGAGTTGGTGCTGCAGATGGCTGCCTTGGTTCTGTATTGGAAGGAAATTCCCTGTTTGTGTAACATACTTGGTCAGTAAAACTGATTATCATTTTACTTAAGCAGTGCTTTTTAAAAAAAACTGTGCTCAAATTGTGTGGGCTGTAAATTAAAGAACACGTTGGAATAACATTCAGTCCACTGCGTTTGATGCTGGTAACTTTAAAGGCTGTCACTCTGATGTGAGAGAGGTACACCCGTGACACGCACTCTGCTGGACAATCAGAGTCCTGAGAGCTGCTGCTGGCTAATCACCAGCACAGCCACATCTAAGACACAAATGATTAAGACTGTCTTCTGTCATTAATGATTGTTGACTTTTTTATTTGTCATATTTTTACTTTAATAGCTAATCAGCGGGGTAGAAAATGCATGACCAGACACTCTGTACTTCCTGCAGACTGACAGACAAGCCTGTTTTGTTGCACTTAAAGCAAATTTCAGGGGAGCTTACTTTGACACTATAAGCTGGTTCCTTACAGTTCAGACACAAAGAAAGATTAAGTGTACTCCTGAATATTTTGTCGTATTTGTTATGACTTTCCTGTGACTCCCACTGTGCTCTTTCATTTTTTTTTCATGTTCTCTGTAAAAGCTAATGATTTTTAGGACAAAAATTAATCACTGTTTCAAATTTGATCTCAAGAAGTCAATGCCATTGATTCTGCACCTCTGATTCTGTTGCTTGTACCACATCTGTTCATGTAAAGCAGAAAAAAAATAATTCTATAGTGATGCCCGGTGTGTGTGTGTGTGTTTGTGTACTGTCGCTGCAGGTGCTTTTGAGGATGAGGATATCATCCATGTTGAGGGGACAGTGGACCCAGTGAGAGATATGGAAATCATCCATGAGGAGCTGAGGCTGAAAGATGAGGAGATGATCGGCCCTATTATTGACAAGCTGGAGAAGACGGCCATTAGAGGCGGTGACAAGAAACTCAAACCTGAATATGTGAGTCAATGTCCCAGCAGGCCCTTTGCTCCCCCTCACAGCAAGACACAAATAATAACCCTCCCACACACATGGCCAAGGAGAAAAAAAGTATGTTTTTTTTTAATCTCCCTCCAATAGGTCTCACCCCTCCCCCTGCCCCATTTTTTCCCTTTCTAAGATTGAAAGTGATCAACGGTCAGGGGGTTTCTGCTGTAGAAATCATTAATAGAGAGTTACTTATTCAGCTGCCGACCCTGGGTCACAGTGCTGGGCTAATGAAAGTGTTTCCACACAGCTCTTTTCATCTAAGTAATACTCAAATCATGGAACAGCTCTTGCTCATGCTTATACACCTACAGCAGCTCAGAAAATTGTGCAAGGCCATACAGTGGGTGACACATATGCCTATACCTCGCTATGAATACCATAAATGTTTAGAATATTCTTTGACAGAGGATTCTCGGTTACATACAATGAGGTGCAGGGCAAAATGCAGGCTGAGATAGGAAAAAACCTCCACATCCTGGATGTCAGATCAAAATATATGTGAATGCACACACATTTAGACTGTCATATTGTTAAGGTAATGAGGCTTAGCAGCCAACTTTAGTGATGATTTGGCTGTAAATGTCTCATGTTGCCCTTCCATCACTGGAGCAGAATAGGATGGGCCAACACACGAGGGGATCTGGCCTTTCACTTGCCCAATTTCAGGCCCCGACAAACCGAGGCTCTGACCACTCATTACGCTAACGAGAGGGGCTATTTCACCTGCTGCAAAGACCCTGTGTTTGGTTGGTTCCCCTCAGACTAACCCCCCACCCCAATAATCGCTAACAATTTTAGGCAATGAATAAAAATGATCTACATTACTTGTCAAAGGTTGTGCACGCGTCAGCAAGTGAGAATCTATAGAAGACCTCTTTAGATAGCGAAGAATGGTGCTTATCAAAGGCTGCACCAAGCTTTTAGATGGGGGGGATTATGTGATTGTCTTCACAGGCTGAGCCTGGCATTAAACATGCTCAGCTGTGTGCAGATACATATACACATGTTTATGTCAGTGTCTATATGCACAGCATGTGCATCAACCCTATCTCTAAAAATGAACAGTTTATAAGAAACAATAGTGCTTGTATTTGCTTTGCCAGAGGATGAGATGAAATAAAAAGGGAATGATGTTCAACAATTTATATGGCAATTACTTAATTTTTTACTGAATAATTTGAAATAAGATTTAATTTCCAGTGTTAGCATCACAAGTGTCACAAATTTGAGCAAAAAATGTTTTTATGCTGCTTCTAGGAGTTGTTTTAAAAATTATATTAATGGAAATACAATGAGATACAACTTATTTTATCATTTAGATGTCTGGTTATGATCACATCTGTAAATTTATCATGATTCACGATGGTGTACCGCTCAGTCTTTTACATTCAGCTTTCCTAAAAATCCAAAATTAGATCTAAGCACATGTTGTCTTATATTGTGAAAACCAAATAAGACTAACACCAACACGTGACTGCCTACATAAAAAAATGTATTTAAAAAATGTGAAATTTTCTAACCATAATGACAAAACCACTCAAATTACTGAGCTGCCAAAATATGCTTAAGAAAAATGCAGCACAATTAAATTAAGGACCCTGAGATAATATACATGTACATGTTTGCTTTTGTTTATCAAATACTATACTGTGCATTGTTATGCAAGATATAGAAATTATATGTATTACTGTGAAAGAAAACTGTTGTATGACTATATAATTATACATGAATTTCAAAAAGAATAATGTTAAATATTTGTGGTTTTTGCCACAAATTATTACACAGACTATCCTTGTTATTATTATTATTATTATTATCCTGATTAAATGAAGCAGGATGTGTTGTGAGGGCACCATGATTCTTTTTTGATGTACTTCCTACTGAAACAGAGTGGGGCAAAACACGTGGGTTGACGGACATTGTAAACTAAAAGGGACATATGTGAGGAAGAGGAATGCAGTTTTATCTGATAGGTAGGGGGCAAAGTTAATGAAAAAGAATGTCATATTGGTTTGAGTTTTCATTCACTTATAGCTGCAGCATGAGCTCATGGCTGAAGATATGGCATTTAAGAAAAGTGGATATTTTAAGGGGGAAATAAGCAAATCAGAAATTTTGAACTTGTAAAATAGTATATGGTTAAAGTTTCCAATTAGGATGAAAAAAATCATTTATTATTTCATTTTAAGTATAAGCAAAATTCATGTACGCCAGCAGAACAGGGCTCATATGTATGCATTGTTATAGAGATTTAAATCTATTTTCTGCTGCTGTGTTTACAAGAACAATGTTTCATTGCTTTTGTCCATGTGAATCCTCAGAATCCCCATCCTTACAAAACAATAATAAGAAGCCGGCCCACCAGCGGCGCTTCATGGTGGCAGGCGTATGTGTTTGACCCCTGTGGGACCTATATGCCTTTTATTAACACCTGCCTGTTAGAGGAGCGCTGCACGGCGGCCGCGAGCTGATGAGGGAAACCTGGAGCGGGTTCAGTATGTGTCACTGGCCGTTTGCTGTTTCCATTTCACAGATGATTAATCTCTCTGTGAAGACTTGGGCCGGCGCGGGCGGAGTGTATGCAGCTCTTCCTGCGCTCTCTCCCGCTGGCTGCACTCTGGCTGCCTGACTAAAAGGCCTTTAGAATTCCTGTGGAGAGAGATGTGCAGAGAGTGAATGCAGCTGGCTGGGGGTCAGTGTGTGGAGCTTTTTCTGCCATTGTGTAATTGAGGCTCTGGCAGGATTTTTTCCTCAGTTCTTTCAAAAGGGAGTATGATTGTGAAGTGCTGCAAGGATTTGGGGAGGGAAAAGGAGGTAGGGGGAGTGTTGCAGGGGGTGGGGGAGTTTTTATATGAAGGGGGAGGTCAAGTTGACAGGAACAAAAAGAATGTGTTCCGCTAATTTCTGTGGGGCTGGATCAACAATAATAGGCTCAATTTCTTTATTACAAATTTTATAACTACCTCCCTCCCATTTTCCCACCCTTTTCCGCTTCCAGATCCTGTCAAGACCCAGTCTTGCCTATGGTCTCAACCCACAAGTACCTCAGTAATGAATGTGGCATACATAGATGAAAATGCTCAATATTTTCTCCAGAAGAAACAGTGAATAATTTGTTCTGTACCTCAGAAGTGCTCATTCAGTATGACTACATACTGCAAAGTGCCTGAGGAAGGACCAATAATTTACACCTATCTAACCAACTTCCAATTAGTGCCCTGCTCTTTGCAATTTTGTATCCTCTCTCTATCCTATTCATTAAACAGTCCCGATGGAATGTTGATGTATAAAACTGTGAATCTTAGCGACACACCCCAGAAGGCATTTTATCATGATTTGAAGGAGGGAAAGGGGTCTTGTGCATGCCATCCTTGTCAAACCCAGGCCACTCCTGTTTGAATGCAAGCGCAGCCATTGTTCATTTTGGCATCAGGATGCCATGCATTTAGGAAATAATTACCCCATACCCTGCTGGTTTTATATTCTTTTTCATCTCCTTTAATGGCTTCTTGTTCATTCTCTTTTAACCCCAAACAGGACGTTATGTGCAAAATCAAGAGCTGGGTAGTCGATGAAAAGAAACATGTCCGCTACTATCATGACTGGAACGACAAGGAGGTAAGCCTTTGATGACACAGGCAAACATATTAATGTGATTTATCTTGGTAACCTTTTTTCTTCTGACCTAAAAAGACAGCTGCCTCTTCCTCCTCAGTTGTGTTTTTGAACAAATCACAAGTTAATATTATTTGCGGTCTTTTGTTGGTTGTATTTTGACATTACTTTTGTACAAGTTGATGACATCTGGCCATGCTGATCTTGATTCAGAGGCTTTATAGTCGCTCCCCACCGTGCCTGTACACCAGACTCTAATTTGATTTGGCTTCACTTATCTGTTTGTGCTCTCCTCAAAAGCTACTTTGGAAAGTTCGGATTTTCAGAACTTGCCTCGTCTGTCTTTGTTACAGATCGAAGTGTTGAACAAATACTTGTTTTTTACATCCAAACCAATGATTTACCTCATTAACCTCGCTGAGAAAGACTACATCAGGAAAAAGAACAAATGGTAAGTGCTTTGAAGAAGGGTGGGTGCCAACTCATTGTACCCATTAATCATCACTGAAAAGCTGTCCTTCTACTTATGCACAAGGTTACACTGATTTCTACATTTCAACTATACAACATATGTGCGCATAAGTCTGCGCATGTATGTGCTGCGGTATGGGATTTGGGTGTGTGAGTTAGCCATGCTGATCTACCGACAGCTCTGGAAAGGCCAGCCAGCCCCCAGACTCTGCACTTCATTTAGCACATATCAGCATATTGTCTCAATTTGTCTTATTTCCATATGTCAAAGAGGGTGAAGGCTTTAAATGACAGAAAAACAAACATGTGCATTCAAAATCAAACAAATAATTAATATCCTCTGGTGACAATAAACCATAAGGATGACACTCCTTAGTTTTGTATTATCTAAAATTGTTTTGTTCTAAATGTATGGTTTTCTCTTCATGTTGTTCCTTTACAAGCTTCACTTTACAATCGTGAAATTCCCACAGATCACAGTGATAACTGAGGCTGTGTCAAAAAATTACATATACATGCACATTAAACTTTTTTAAAGCTACTATACAGTGTTATACTTTTTACTTTGGAGGTACAACACTGTTCGAACTGCAGCCTAACTGAAGATGACCTGTATTGCACTAATATAAACCTCATCGCTGTGTTTCTAGCTTGTGATCCTCTGTCAACACTTTTTATAGTAATGTTGTCATCTGACCACAGTGAGAGCAGGTCTCAAAGGCTGGTGTTAGAGGCCCATTATATCTGAAAGGGCTACTTTTCCACACTACAGCCCTTTTGCCAATAACACCAACTTGTGGATTGTTATCGCACTTTTCCAATTGCCCTCCAGGTTTGTGGTGTCTTACAAAATTTGTTTTAGCACTTTGCTCGGCAGCATCGCACTACAAGGGAAGTTGTTTACCTATGACTGTTTGTTAAAATGTTCCTGACACATAACTCTGACTGTCAGACAGGGGGGAGGGGGGGAGATAGCTCATAAATCAAATGATTCATGTTATGTGGAACATCTGTCATCAGTAAGAAGAGAGGGTTTTTTTTTCCTGTTGCCTGTGTGTTTTCTTTTAACTATGTGAAATGCAATAAATCTTAGAGCGTTTTAAACAGGCAAACAGTAGTGCTCAGGTGTCCTCAGGGCTCCACGCTGAACAATACTGACATCAAAGTGTTGATGTTTGACAAGTGATGAGTCACTTCCCTTGTCCAGAGAGGAGCTCACACCTGTATGGAGATGATTACAGGTAGATCTAGCTGGCCCTAATTGTACAATAAATGCTGCTCTCAGCCATAATGGCAGCTAGTCTGCAGCAGAGACGCCAGACTGCCATTTGGCTGTCGCCATGCTCCCGTGTTTTTCCACCAGCGCAGTTGAGATGATGATACGGTTAAGGACTATTCAAAGCAAACAGCAAGACAAATTGCAATCTCAGCTTTAATGTGTGGAGGAAAAGAAGGTGAATCCAGGAATGAGGCAAATAAGCCAATTTTATCAGTGTCACTCAGGACACCCTTTCAGGCTGTTTCTCAGGTTCAGTACCTGCTTTTTTTGTTTGTTTTTTTCCCCAAGTGCTGTTTTATATTTGCTTTGTTTTGTTGAGTGCATGCTGCCACTCGGGCTGTAGGTTGGTGTGATTAATTTTAGCAACATTTGGTTTTAATACAAGTATTTTTTTTAATCATTATTAGCAGGTTAGCTTGTTATGAGAACATTATTAATACCTTTTCACACATGGGCAGTTACATACAATAGTGTTATGAGACGTTATGAGACTTTTTGAGCCTCCGAAACCAGTTCATAGTTTGAGTATGGGAACCACATACCAAGTTTCCATTGTTTAGACAAGAATACACAGTATTAGCTTTAGCAAGGCATCATTAATGGAGGGATCAGACAAGGAGCACGGCCTCCTTTCATCCCCAGGTTCTCTGCTGGAGACAGTACATCATTTACTGTTGAGAGGAGCACATGGCTCCGATCATATACAGTGCATGTGTATGAGAATGCGTACATGTGCATGTTTGAAGTCTGTTTCAGAGGCGACTCCGTGCTCATTTGGATGCTGTTGTAATTGCGGTGTGTAGATCAAAGGCACGCTGGCCGAGTGATGTTCCAGAGAAGACTTTACCACACAGCCCTCTCCTCTGTGCAGAGGGGGCCGCCTGCTGCTCGCCGCTCCCCTCTCCCCTCTAGCCATGCACTGCCCCCTGCACATCCCCGCTCGTAAAAAATGATTAAGGCCGCATTTGTCATGTGTTTATGACTGAGAGGCATTGCGTGATAGGGAATGGCATCTACAAGAGTCTATCAAGAGGCTTTCTCCTCTTTCCTCGGCGTCAGTGAGCTGCCTGCGAGACTTTTTCTCTGCGCCATGTAGTTTGTGTGTTAGAGAGGGTCATTAGAGTGCTGCTGATGATGTGGTGGCTGCAGCCTGCCCAGTGTTAGCATGTCTTCACTTGTCAGTTAAGATAGTGTTTATTTGACAAGCTCTGGACCTCATCATCTTTATCGGTCTTTATTTCTTTTAATAGTTTTGATATCAGATATTCATTTAATTTTCCTCGGAAAGCTAAGAGCAGTCACATATTTTGGTGGTAAAAGACACAGCTGAGAATGCTCCACATATGCTGGGATGTTTTTCTTTCTTGTCATTTCTTTTTTTCAGTTTTTTTTTTCATTTCTTCTTTTGAACAATGTGCATTAAAGTAAATTGGTGCCTCTTAAGTAGATGAGTTGACCTTTAAGGAAACCAGTAAGCGTGACCTGTCTGTGAGTGCCTCTGCGGTGTGGGTTCTCCTGGTGAGTGTAAGAACTGCAGGGTACCATTGCTTGAAGCTTTTATTAACTCTGTGTGTGTGTGTGTGTGTGTGTGTGTGTGTGTGTGTGTGTGTGTGTGTAGGTGGGGGTAGGGTTGTTTGTCTGTCTGTCTGTCTGTCCGCATGCAAGCGCGTTTGTGTCTAGAATGACTATCGATATAGACTTTCCTTGAGTCTTGTTAGTACACTCATTTAAACTTACTAAATAGTTTCCCTCTTTGAATGTTATGTCTCAATGTGTGATGCATTAGGTACCTCTGGCTTGATATTCTTTATGCTTTACGCCAAGAAACCGCAACTGTAATAGTTACATATAACAGCTATTCTTTCAGCTGTCCTTTTTTAAATCTTTTTTTTTCTGCCATGAAGACATAAATTGATCTTTCATACTTTTATTTCCCTCACAATTTTCTGGTATGGTGTAATTCAGAAAAGCTTATGTCATGCTTTTAAATATCATCAGCCTTTTCTCCTCAACAGTAATGTTAAAAAGACAATGCAATTTATATAGCACATACACAAAGGCAATTCAAAGTGCTTAACACAATGCACATAAATAGGTAAATTGTTAAAATGCATACATAGATAAAGCAGAATGCAAAGTAAGCAACAATTACATGACAGAACAAAGTAGCAACATGCAGGTGTAGATGCCTAGTACTTTTAGTACAGCTGTGGCAGACTGGGGATTCTCACTGTTCTCACTGTTCTTTGTACCACTTCACTTCAGTCTTCTCAAGTCTAACCGCCGTGTAACTGACACCAGAGGTGGGGAATACTTATTTGTTTTCCCAAGAAAGGCTGTTTCTGGACAACAAGTGGTACGTCTCAGCACTTCAGGAGAACAAACTTTGTTTGACAAGTCCCAGTTTCATTTCAACAAACAGCCTTATAGAGGAGTTGCTGAGGCAAGGTCCATTTATTACATGGATGGAAATATTCTTATTGTTGTTGTTTTTTTTAATTGTCAACAAATCCACAAAAAGACCAGAGCTAACAATAATTTGATGCAAGTGACCAGGACAGTCTTGTTAAAGAGATTTTTAATCCCAGTGAGGCTTTTCTGTTAAAATAAAGGTTAAATAAAAAAAATCTGAATCAGCTTTATTGACCAAATATGTTTTATACACACAAGGAATTTGACTTAAATATATAGAATAAAAATGTGTGCATCCAAAAAAGCAAAAAAGTGCAATCAAATAGGAAAGAATAGGGAAAAAGGAGACAATAAAAATTACTAAGAGCTAATAATAATATAATAAGGGCCAATATTAATAAGTGTTAATAATGAGTGTTGTCTGTGTAGCTTGTTCCTCTGTGCCATAAAGCTCTGGGGTTGTCGAAAAGCTAATGCAACACGTCAGTGAGTCACAGACGTTCCTCTCTTTCAATGAACATATGCACCGTAGTCAATCCCACATACAGTACACTGCCCTGTTTACTTTATATATTTATGTCTTCAGTAGGAACAGGTGGGATTGGAGGTGAACGTCACTAATGGGGGAAGTCAGGAAGTGCTGAGGAATAGGAATTCTTTTAACAACAAGAAAAATATTGGAAAACATCAGCCTTATCCTGAAACTCTAGTGAGGTTTGACTGTAGTGACTAATGCAGTGACAATATGAGTGGCATCTTTGGTGCAAACCCAACGTCAGTTAAAGAAAGAGAGATGCAGGAAATGTCTTTGCTGAGTTCATTACCCTGGTTGGCCTGTAGGAGGAGCTTTGACAACTGAAGTAAAGGAAGCCCCTGCAGGAGTTTTGGCATGTTAGCTGTGGACCCTCTGTCTTGTGAGCTTATACCTGTTTTCCCCAAGCCTTTTTCCTACAGCTCTTATAGAGAAAAGATCCCTCATCTGCAAAGTTTTAGTGTTGACTTGTATGTTTTGGTTTTGAAGAATCCCAGTAATAAATTGAGTGTCCATTTTCTCTTTCTGACCATTTTGACAAACAGCCAGCCATTTATGAGTACCCGTCAAGATTTAGGTACAAAAGAAATGAGATGGGGTGGGGGCTATTATGATTCACTGAAAGCCACTTCATGAAAGCAGTCGCTACAGCCCACTTCAGCTCCTCCAAACCATAATTCCCATAAACACTACTGGAACTTTACTGAGTGCAAAAACCACTGGCTCCATCTGAGTTTTTAGAGAGTTGGAGTTCACT